ATATCGGCGAACTGTAGAGGCATCTTTCTTGTCGAGGCATCTTCTTTATGATGGTGAGGTCATATCAGCGAATAGTGGAGATCTCTATCGGGAGATTATATTGGATCATATCGGGCCAGACTGTCGGGCCGTGTTAAGCATCGGGTCTTTGGCTGAAGTCGTCAAACAAGGGATTGCCTGATTGGACAGTTTCTTCTGATGTTGTTGGTGCAGTAGTATCGGGAGCAAATATATGAAGAAGATTTTGCTCTAGTTCTTCTAAGGTAGCCTTAGGATGTGCTTGTTTCATTTTCTTCAGATAGGCCGAAAATGTGGGTAAACTGACTGTATTATATGCTGGTGGGTTGAACACATTGGTTTGAAGAGGTATTCGTTTAAGGGGTAAGGAGGCAGGATTAGTACTGCAAATATCCCACCATTTGATTTTAAGGGTTTTGCCAAGCTTGGGAATATACTCATAATTATTTGTATTATTTTCAGAAATAGAGTAATCCCATTTTAGGATCCAAGGTATTTGGTATAGAGTCATGAAGTAGAGATGGAAATCATCTAAGTCAGTACAAGTATTATATTGTGCAAATTTTGTCTGTAAGGCTTGGAAAGCATCGAGTAAAATTTGGGTCTGTGATCCCCATAATAAGAACCAATGGCGGAACCAACTTGGGAATCTTTCAAGAATAGGGAGTTTGAATTGCAAATACCAGGAATGAGTATTATTTGGATTTTGGTAGGAGAATACTTTGTGCCATGCGTCAATGTACTTAGAATATTTATAATATTTATATTGGAATTCTGGATTCAATAATTTTTTTCCTTGAAGAGGATTGCATCCCCAATCATCGTAAGAAAGTAATTTTTTAATTTGAAATTTGGAGTAAGCATATACTTTAGTTGTACCTTGATAAAAATGGACAATTGAAACCGAACCAGTTTCCATAAGAATAGCTTCATACCATTCACGGGTTTTGACTCCGTTTGATGGATTCAAGTGGTTTACAAGATAAAGGGGAGCTATTTTATTTGGGTCAAGTTGTGCATGAGTATCAGAAATGGGTATATCTGATAAGAAGGCTGTGTCTATATAGACTGATTTGGCAGAGGTCGAGGTTTGTTTATTTGGGTATGTTGCCGGAGAAAACGCCGGACTTGGGGTTTGTATTGGACTTTGCGGAGGAGTATGTCGCAAGTATTCAGATACATTTGAGGATCTGAGAGGTGACATAGGTGTCAGACTTAGAGAGGAATGGATGGGCATAAGGGGCCCATACCTGTTGCTTGGTACTAAGTCCATAGGTTGTTTTCCTTTGTTGGTATTTGAAGACTGAGGATTATTCATATTGGTATTTTATTATTAAGAAAGAGTTGCAAACCGTAGGATGAAAATCCGTAGGATGAAATTGTATCGTCTTTAGGGTGAGATGGGTATATGCAGTCCCCCCTGCAAAAATTCACGGGTGAGAAAGTCAGGTAAAGAATTAGTAGAACCGTGAAGATGCTCAATAGAGAAATCAAAAGCAGATAAAATAGCCTGCCAGCGGGCGAATATTTGTTTGGATACAAGGTTTTGAACATCTTTTTGCAGAATGTCTTTGGCAGCTTTACAATCAGTACGAATAAGAAAATGTTGATTTAAAATGTCAGTTTGAAATTTACAAACACAGTGAATAATGGCAAGTAATTCTTTTTTGACGGTAGAATAATTTTTTTGTGTAGGATTCCAGGCTTTGGAAGTAAATTTTATTAATTGTTCTTTAGAGTCAATGGATTGTTTTAATATTCCACCTAGTCCTAATTCAGAAGCATCGCATTCAATGATTTTAGAAGCTGTTGGATCAGATAAAGTTAAACATGGAAGTTCTTTGTCCTTAAGTTTACGTCGCTGTACAGCCAAAGTATGAACATCAGTCCAAGGTGGAGGATTCTTCTTTAATCGGTCATATAAAGGTTTAGCATCAAGAGCTAGATTTTGGTAAAAATCACTTATATAATTTAAACATCCTAAAAATCTTAGTAATTCAGTTTTGTCTAAAATTTTGTCAGAAAATTTACCAGCAAAGAGAATAGATCTATCAATTGGGATAATGGTCCCGTGATTTATATTATGTCCTAAAAATCTATTTTTTGTTTGAAAAAGATTTAGCTTTTTAGCAGAAACTACTAATCCAATATTTTTAACTGTATGGATGAAAGTATGAAGATGTTTAAAATGTTGTTCAAGAGATTCTGAAAATACGAAGACGTCATCAATATAAACTATCATGAATTTATAAAAGGGATTAAAGATATCATTCATTATTTTTTGGAATTCAGACAGAGCATTTTTAAGACCAAAAGGCATAACATTCCATTCATATTGTTCAAAAGGGACATTAAATGCGGTTTTATTTTTATCTTCTTCTTTTATCTGTATTTGCCAAAAACCAGATTTTAAATCGAATTTGGAGGAGATTACAGCATGTAAGAGTCTATCGAGTAAATCTTTTTTATTTGGAATGGGATATCTAGTCCATTGTAAGACTTTATGAG